GGTCTCTCAATTCCTGCCCGCATATATATATATATATATAAGCTCTGCTCCTTCTCGTCAACTTATTGTTCGTCTTCTTCCTCCTCGTCGACATTCTCTTGGCTATTTGAGGGAGGAAATTGAATGACGGTGCTTTGGTGGGGGGAAAGAAGGAAGGAGAAAGGATTCCGATGGTGATGGTCAGTGTTGTGGTCATCAGACCTTTTTTTGTTGTTGTTGTTGAGAAAATGATCTTTTTTTTTCTTGTGCTTTCGGCTTGTGTCTGAGGAGATTGATTCTCAGAGCAAGATGTGAAGAGAGTCTTTCTAAATTCTTGAACGTTGGTGAAAAAAAAGAGAAAGAAAAGTTTAATGCTCGGGCTTTGAATCGGAGAGTAGAGGAATTAAATGTAGGGAAGATTAGTTTTGCTGATAAATAAAACCTGAGATTCTCATTAAATCTAGTACAGCACAGTACTGAGTTCGTGATGGTGTTTGAGGTAATGAGAAAGGATTCCAACGGTGATGGTCAGGGTTGTGATGGACATCAGACCTTTTTTTTTTCGTGAGAAAATTATTTTTGCTGGTATTTTTTTCGTCCGCTTTTGGTTTCTCTGTGACGATTTATTTTCAGAGGATGGCTTAGGAATATTTTCAAATTCAGATAAATAACCTCAAAGTCCTGCAGTGTGTGCTTGCTAAATGGAATTTGCTCAAAAGTTAGGTAAATGAAATATTATTTATGAATCCAGCAATTTATGTACTTATGTATATCATGGATTCTATATATTACGGAGTTCATGAAGGTGCTCATAATCTGCTTATGAATTATTTTCTCAATAGTATTTTCTTATGATTTACCTTGGATGGTTGTTTTTTAGGTCAAAGTCAACCTTTCTATAATGCATGATGGGAATTTACCTAATAAGTTTAGCATCCTTGAATGGAAACTTTTTCATGTTCATAATCATAAGATTCGCACAAATGATGTTGGATTAAATTTCCATTGAATAAAAAAGGATCAGGATTGCATCTCAATTTCAAATGAGTGCAGATTTCAAGAATCAAAATTTATAATATTCCTTGAAACTACTAATGATGATTTTTCATTGACAGCTATAACATATGAGGTAACTTCACAAGCAATATTATCAATTCTGAAAAATCTTTGAAGTATTCCTTAAAAGGCATGGAGATAAAAATTTAGAATTTTTCATAAAATTCTGACCCCATTTCAAGAAGTCAGCACTTCAAAAAATAAAAGATGGATTTGGCTCTGTGAAAGTGCAGTATAATTAATTACTTCAAAAAAGCTGTTCTTCTTATGAATCTTTAATCCTGCGTATGTTTTACTTTTTGATTTGTTCTGTCAATTATCATATCCCTATGGCCCATTCACAGAATTGGGGAACACATGGTTCCCACATGAAGAAACTGCTGGAACCCAGGAATAAATTCATTATACAAAACTTGTTTGCTGGAATTCCAATATCTAATGAAGAATGTAGCCACAAGACTGTGTCACAAGCATACTTTCTTCCCTTCCAGCAAAATCCTGTCAAGCAAAATAGAATGCTTTCAAATAAAAACGTAACTCAAGAAACAATTACAAAAATCACACACCATCCAAACATAGCCACAATCAACGCATTTGATCATTTTGCTGTTTGAAAACACAAAGTCGAAAGCTGCCAAAGCACAAAATTTGATTTTGGTAACACTGGATCATGCACTGAATGGATGGTAGACTGAAGG